TAAAACAATGTTACAAATAAATTATAAAAATATATTTTAAATGTAAATGTAAAAAAGTATATACATTAAATATCGATAATAAATATATGAATATAATGTGTACATAAATTCCAGGTATTAAGAATAATAATATTTTAAAAATATGGTAGCAACAGCATTTTCAAAGTGAAAATCAATGAGATTTTAAGATCTTTAGAATAGGCTGCATACTTAAATACATATAAATACATTTTCTGACCCTAAATATATCTTAGTAAAAAATTTTTATTAATTTAATGATTAAATTATTTGATGATCATTTTAATTGTGGTGATCTTAATACAGCAAGAAGTGCATTACTATGGATGCAATAAATATACCTCCAATACATGCTGAATATTTTATATAAACATTTTTAACCATAAATTGAATGTTTAAGCATAAGTAGCTGAAATATTAATTTTGAAAAATAAATGACAATATAAACGTTGTTCTTAACAAGAAAATACTGATTTTGTCTTTTTGCAGGCGTGGGTGTGCAAGTTTGAAAAACCACAGACGTCCCCCAATTCCATTATCCCCAGCACCACCGTCCTGAGCCCCTATGTCCGATTCGGCTGCTTGTCTGCACGCACCTTCTGGTGGAGGCTCACAGAAGTGTATAGAGGGGTATGTCAGACATCTTATGCATTACTTGAGCCACAAGCAGCTGTTTAACAGTGCAAGATCCTGGTGTGGCTGACAGCGGTGTTGTCTTTTGCAGAAGCAGCACTCTGAACCTCCAGTCTCCCTGCATGGGCAGCTGCTGTGGAGAGAGTTCTTCTACACCACTGCCGTCGGGATCCCAAACTTCAACAGAATGGAGGGCAACCCTCACTGTGTGCAAGTGGACTGGGACAACAATCCCGAGCACCTGGCTACATGGAGAGAGGTAAAGTGTGTTTTTTGAATATATTATAATGACAATAAACCAGAAGATGAGCATGTGTGAATTCAGGCTCGGACCGGATTCCCATTCATTGACGCCATCATGACACAATTACGTCAGGAGGGCTGGATACATCATCTCGCCCGGCATGCGGTCGCCTGTTTTCTGACCCGAGGAGACTTGTGGATAAGCTGGGAGGAGGGCCAAAAGGTTTATGTTTCGCCCAGTTACCTGCTATGTTACAGACAGATCAGAGATATTATCATTGACCTGCTGTGTTTCTGCTCACGATTATCTGAAGGTTTTTGAGGAGCTGCTGCTGGATGCTGATTGGTCGCTAAACGCAGGAAACTGGCAGTGGCTCTCAGCTAGCGCATTCTTTCAACAGTATTTCAGAGTGTACTCTCCTATCGCCTTTGGAAAGAAAACCGACAAATATGGGGATTACATTAAGTTAGTTTTGTTTTTTTATATTCTGTTAATATAAAAGTTTCTGTGAAACAAGTACTTACAAAATGCTGACTCTGCTTGTCTTCCAGGAAATACCTTCCAGTGCTGAAGAAATTCCCTGCCGAGTACATATATGAGCCCTGGAAGGCTCCTCGGAGTGTTCAGGAGAGAGCAGGGTGCATTGTGGGAAAAGATTACCCTCGTCCTATTGTAGAGCATGACATTGTCCATAAAAAGAATATTCAGAGAATGAAAGCAGCATATGCAAAGCGCTCCTCCGAGGACAAAGATGACAAAGGTAATTATTTAGACCTAAAAATATTATTTATATATACAAACATATATTTTATTATGAAATTCTCGACTCAAACCGACTATTGATTCTTGTTTTCTCTCTCCAGGTGTAAAACTCAAAGCAACATCTATCCTGGATATGTTTGAGAAGAAGGCAAAGAGATAAAGTTGTTCTCTCTCATCCGAACTGTTTTTATACTGTGTTCCTCTATGGGTCAGTTTTGGTTTTCTATTTAACTTTAAGTTATACATTATATATACATCATATACGTGTGTGTGTACCTGTTTTTCTATTCTGGTGGGGACTTAAACCTGAATATACACACAGACTCGTGGGGACTCGTGTCACGGTGGGGACCTAAATTGAGGTCCCCACGGGTAAACAAGCTAATAAATCACACAGAATGAAGTTTTTTGAAAATCTAAAAATGCACAAAGTTTCCTGTGAGGGGTAGGTTTAGGGGTAGGGATGGGGTAGGGCAATAGAATATACGGTCTGTACAGTAGAAAAACCATTACGCCTATGGAGAGTCCCCACAAGGATAGCTAACCAGACCAGTGTGTGTGTGTGTGTGTGTGTGTGTGTACTGGTTTATATATCCTGGTGGGGACTTAAACCTGACTACACACAGACTCATGGGGACTCGTGTCACGGTGGGGACCTAAATTGAGGTCCCCACGGGTAAACAAGCTAATAAATCACACAGAATGAAGTTTTTTGAAAATCTAAAAATGCACAAAGTTTCCTGTGAGGGGTAGGTTTAGGGGTAGGGATGGGGTAGGGCAATAGAATATACGGTCTGTACAGTAGAAAAACCATTACGCCTATGGAGAGTCCCCACAAGGATAGCAAACCAGACGTGTGTGTGTGTGTGTGTGTGTAAAAGTTTGGGATCACTAAGGTTTTTATGCAAGAAATTAATACGGAAATTAACTTGGAAAAAAAATATATAGAAATTGATAAATCATGCTAAAATAAAACAGCACATTTCTGTCTTCTTCAACAATATGCATGTGTATTCATATCCATATTAACACACATTTAAAGATGTACAGATTTATAAAATTCAGTCCATGATGTATGATTTGGAAACAAACTTTTAAAGTTTCTGATTATTTTTGGTATTCATTTCTGAAACAGTATGAATATGACGATCTAGAAAAGCACTTCAATAGGATATATCATGATCTGTTTCATATGCATATTTAAATATATGCAATTACAAATGACAAAATGTCCATCTGAATTTCCTGATCTCTACCATACATTTCTTGTACAGTATGTTTTGTTGAATCTAGCAGCAATGATCACTCTTGTCTTTCATGTCTTAAAGGGTTAGTTCACCCAAAAATGAAAATTCTGTCATTAATTACTCACCCTCATGTCGTTCCAAACCCATAAGACCTTCGTTCATCTCGGAATAGGGGTGTGCGATATATATCGTCTGCGATAATATCGTAATTGTTGTTTTAACGATGTACGATTTGACATTATCGAGTATTTAGCAAAAACCATTCAAAACACACCCTCAGTGCACGCATACATTACGTGAAGCCTAGACTAGTGCGCGTGCGCATTTAGAGTGCGTTCTTTCACTGAATGATTCAGACTAATAAAATTCATTTAGAATGATCACAAAATTCAAGACATGGGGGCAGAAAATGTATAAATTTATACCACTTCACATAGTTAATCAATTTCACACGAAGAGTGCCGTTTTTTTTCTCCCAAAATTACCATGATTACAAATGTGATATTGATTTTTACAACAGGAAGTCTAGACTAGTGCGCGTGCGCATTTAGAGTGCGTTCTTTCACTGAATGATTCAGACTAATAAAATTCATTTAGAATGATCACAAAATTCAAGACATGGGGGCAGAAAATGTATAAATTTATACCACTTCACATAGTTAATCAATTTCACACGAAGAGTGCCGTTTTTTTTCTCCCAAAATTACCATGATTACAAATGTGATATTGATTTTTACAACAGTTCAATAAACAATTAGTTAATTAAGATACTTACGTTTTAGACACCATTTTGGCTGTTTTTCCTCTATTTCACCAACAAAAATAATTCCAAACACAGGCACAGCACTGTTTTGCGTGTCTGAGCAACAGGACGGTGTTTCGTTCCTGAATGAATCAACAGTTTAAATGATTCGGTTCAATCGCAATGACTCACTTATTTACGGTGACTTGCTGCCACCTGCTGGCGGTTTTAATTTTACATTTAAAGTGTCTTTTTATTATTTAAATAATTTCAAATATCAGTATTCAACGTTTTATGTTTAATATATCAAAACATTTATCCATTTGTAACTGCAGGTTAAATGCATTCATGTCCTGCATTAAACAGTGTGTAAACGCATCTAAATGCCACTTCAGATGCAGCTTCTGTGTTTCCTCTGCATTATCTAATTCACTGATTAAATGTAAGAATTTGACTCAAAAGATAATGGACACTCTTAGAAAGAAAATGGCTTTATAAAGGTAAAACTGCCCATAAAATTTAAAAATCAATTTAAACTTATTGAAAAAGATTAATTTCCATCCGTGTGAACTGACCACCACACAGAATATGAAGAATATCAAAAACTTTAGGAGTCAGTTCAAGATACCAGCACAATAACACACTCAGCAAAATATCGTCTAATTATAATCGATAAAATCGCAGAAAATATTGAGATATAATTTTTTGTCAATATCGCACAACCCTACTTCGGAACACAAATTAAGATATTTTTGATGGAATCTGAGAGCTCTCTGACCGTCCATAGACAGCAAGGATATTACCACGATCAACGCACAGAAACGTAGCAAGGACATCGGTAAAATAGTCATGTGATATCAGTGGTTCAACCGTAATTTTGCGAAGCTACGAGAATACTTTTTGTGCGCAAAGAAAACAATAATAAC